GAGATGTCGGGGCTGGAGAGATGGCTTAACAGTTAAGAGCACTGACTGCTCTTGTAGAGGACCTGGGTTTGATTTCTAGCACCCACATGGCAACTAACAATCATTCAGAACTCCAATGCCAGGGGAATCCCTCTGATCTGACCTCTGAGGGCATTTTGTACACTTATATACATGCAGCCAATACACTCATACACATAAAATAAAAATAAAAAATAAATAAAATTTTTTTAAAAGACCCAAGATGTTAAATGCTGTATTAGCAAATGATAGCTCTTCTAAATTCCTCTGGGTTAATGTCTTAGAGCAACATTGGGGTTTCTCCATAATAACATGGTAGCCTGGCAGTTTATAAAAACATTTCTTCCCCACAGTTCTGGATGCCAGGAAGTCCAAGATCAAAGCACCTGCAAACCCACTCTCTTGTTCACAGATGGTTGTTTTCTGGCATGTTCTTACATGGAAGAGCAGACAAGGGAGATTTTTCACATCTTTTTCATAAAGGCACTAATCCTTCATGAGGGCTCAAATACCACCAGCACCTCCAAACACTATCATATTAGCAATTAGATCTCAACCTATGGATGGGGAGGGGGGCATCACATAAGCATTCAATCAATGGCAACACACATGACCATGTGCCTTGTAAGTTCTGTTAACCCTCTCGGATCAGCCTGTCCACTCTTCTACTCCATCATTCTATTAATACATGGCATGGTCTTTTCTCAACGATGCCTCTGATACCTTCCTAATTGATTTACATTCATGGATCTGGACTCACTTTTATTTTGTATTCTACATTATATTCAAAGGGAATTCAAAGCACAGTCTAATTATGCTGCATCATCTACTGAAAACACTCTAATGTCTTAAGGTAAAGATGCATCTCTTGTAATTTTCAAGGCCAGTACTTGGTGTCCTTAGATCTGCTTTGAACCCCACTGGGCTCATTGTCCCCTAAGCCTCCTGCCTCCCCTGTGCATTCACAGCCAAATTCAGTCTTCTTCAGTTTCTCAAATGCACCCTGTTGTTTTCCTCCACAGAACCTCTGCACATGTTCTGCCATGTGTCTGAAGTGTCCTTCCAACCCCCAGACCCCTTTCACCCCATGATTTCCATCCTCCTGCACATCCCAGTTCAGCTGTCTCTCTGTAGTAAAATCTTGCTGATCTCTGAAACAAACTAATTGGAAACTTACATAACAGCGCTTGCCTTTTCTTGGAGGATGGGATTCTATACATATATAAGATAAACAAATCCTTGCCTCTCCCCAGCCACATTGTACACTCTATGTCGGCAGGAACCTGGTTAGGTTTTTGTATACTACTAAGCTACAGTACTCAGCATACTTTGAAATGTGTGCTAGGTGTTCCATCAACAGTTATTGGCTAAATGGAGCAGTGAGAACAACGTTCTGTGGGGAATATGAAGAAGAAAAAAAAGCAAAAGCCCTTTCCAGAAATGTGCTTACTCCCTTTGCGGAGAATCAAGCTGGGCTAAGAAACTGGCAGATCCGGGCCTGGAGAGATGGCTCAGCAGTTAAGAGCACTGATTGCTCTTGTAGAGGACCTGGGTTCAAATCCCAGAACCCACATGGTGGCTACGAACTGTACTTAACTCCAGTTCCAGGGGAATCCGAAGCCTCTTCTGACCTCCACGGCATTGCACGACACAGGTGCACTCACATATATACAGGCAATACACTAGTACCATAAAATAAAAATAATAAATAAAGTATTAAAAAAAGAAAGTGGAAGTTCAACTCATCAGGGAGCCAGTGCCAGGCAAGTGGCTGGTGCCCCTGCCTCTCAGAGTCTGAGAGAGCTGGGGTGTGACCAAGGACGTCCTCCATTGGACCTATGTTTCAGATTTGCACTCACATGTCTTCTTTCCCAGGAAAGTCAACCTCTGCACACAGCATCTCATTCGGGGAGTAGCTTCCTGCTCCAGCTTTAAGACCAGCAGAGTGAATGGGTTCATGGTCATAAGGATTGAAAAGGAGAACCAAGACATTTGGTCTTTTCTTTATGAAGAGTGGGCCAGATGTCTGGTGTTCACCTGGGAGGACAGTAGGGCCAGGAACAACTAGACTGTGGTGGCCATCCCACAGGGTGCTAGACATACATTTCAAGTGGTAACAGTAAAGAGACAGAGGCAAGGAATGTGTTGGTGGTTGTTTCAAACTCTCCCTCCTCCATTCCCAGTGTTCTGTTCTATCAAGTTCTGCAACGAGAAATTTATTTCTGGACAAGAAATGTGGTTTGGTGGCAGACCACTGACAAAGAAGTCTCTTGTGTTGGAAACTATTTACTTTTGCAACAGAAAATGAAACTCAAGGAAAGAGAACACATCAGATTGGTTTAGCTGATTTGTTTCAGATTTCTGTTCTAATTTCATTTCTGTTGTGACAAATACCCCGACCCCCCTCCCAAAAAAAAGCAACATAAGAGAGAAAAACATTCATTTGGCTTACAACACCAGGTTAAAGTCTATCAAGAAAGGGAGTCACAGAGGCAGGAGCTTAAAAAGCTGGTCACGTCACAGCCACAGTCAAGAACAGAGAAAGAAACAAAGAAATGCTCTCATTCTGCCTGCTTGCCACCTTGGCTACTGAGCTTCCCTTTTATACAATTCAGGCTCCAGCCTAAGGACTGATGCCTCCACCCACAGTGGACTGTGGCAGTTAACAATCAAGACAACCTCCCACAGACACGCCACAGGTCAATTTGATCTAGATGATTCTTCAATTGAGACTCTCTTCCCAGGTGATTCTAGGCTGTGGCAAGCTGGCATTTAAAACTAACCAGCACAGATGTTATTATTTTGATGTGATCTGGAAGAAGAAAATTTAAAGAAAATGGAAAGGTAAATAGTGAGAAAGTTGGTTGCAGGTGAGCAAAGGAAAGGCAGGGGGCAAGGAGAAATCTCACTGGCTTTGTAAAGCAATCTTCCATTCAGCAAATTCGGAGAATAAACATGTTTTTGTTCCTATTGCCAATTCAGAGGGTAATTATTATTTTTAAGAGTCTTGCAGCAGAGCCTCAGCTAGCTGCAGTAATCCTTTTGGACTTGGACTTCACTGTTGGTGAAGAAAGGCTGTGTTTGACTTTGCTTGGAAACCATAAAACCACAACAAAATACATTCTCCTGAATGCTACTAGGCAACATGGAGCTGTCTTACACCAGGAGGGGCATTTGTGAAAGCAAAGGCTCCACCCTCTGAACAGTGAACCTGAAGGGCCTAAAGGTGCTTTATGAAACATCATCTTAAATAATGAAGAATTAATACCATGAAGATGTGATATGTGTCCTCAAGAAAGCTAAGTTTCACAAAACAGTAACAAGCCGGTAAAGGTGATTCCAGCCAAGCCTGACATCTGAGTTTGATTCCCAGGACCCACAGGTAGGAGAGAACTGACATCCCCAAGCTGTCTTCTGATCTCCACATGAGCCCTATGTGAGCACCCATTACATGCATATGAGTGAGTGCATTCACAGACACACACACACACACAGAGAAATATAATAATATTAATAATAATAACAGTAATAACAAAAGTAACGAAATAGAAAGAGTGCCTAGTCTCCCTCAATCTGTCACTGATTTGACAGCCCAGAGTTCAGGGTTTAGGATGTACTTGGAAGAGGATTAAGAAGGGACGGCGACGTGTGTTCCTGGAAATGCATCACGTCCTTCCTGGGACCATCAAAAAAACCTCCCTGCCTTTCCAGACAGGTTCTGCTCAGAGAGGCCAGTCGTGGGCAAAAGTTAGCTGCCGGTCCCACGCAGCATCTCTTAAGTGGCTAAAGTAGAAGAACCAGGCGCTCTGGGCCATTTCCTGCCTATCACAGCCCCCAGAAGAGGAACTCCTGCGCAAAAGCTTTCCCGGAGAGTGGGTCACCGAAGCTCTCTGGCTGGCGGAGAAGCCGTGGAGGCCAAGCGGCTCTTCGAGGTGGGTGTGTGTGGGGGTGGGCTTGCAGTCGTGTCTCCAGGTCCCCGCCCCTAGCTGTGCGTGGCAACCGGTGGATCCCCCGGCCCGGGAGGGGGTGTGGCGGGCAGGGGGCGTGCTGGTGGATGCTCAGAGGCTGAACTCGCTGGGGCGACCTTCTCAAGCAACTGGAGCATCAGCCGCCGGGTTGGAGGGGCGTGAGGGGGTGGAGGAGGGGGAGGTCTAACCCCCCCGGTTTGCAGCTGTGGGGGGGGCGGATGCTGAGGGAGGGAGGGAGGGAGGGAGGCAGGCAGAGCTGCAAGCAGACTGCGCTCAACCCGGAGTGCGCCAGCGCTGCGAGCACCCGGAGCGCCGCTGGGATTGTTGTACTCGGTCACCAGGGCGGCCAGGCGCCCCGCAGCCCTGCAGACCGCGCCCGACCCCGGTGACAGGACGGGCAGACAGCCGGGTACCCGGAGCCCGGGCGCGGCGAGCCGGGAGGAGGCGTCGGCTCGCGTCGCTTTGATGCTTGGAACCTGAACAAGGCCAGGACCAAGGTAAACGGAAAGACAGGGACAGAGAGAGGAGAGAAACCGAGAGACAGGTGCACAACACATTGCAGCAAGTTTGCGCTGGCACGCCGAAGCTCTGCACAGCTCACGGAGGGAGAGGGTGGCGGTGGTGTGTGTGCGGGTGTGAGACTCCTGGAGAAGGCGAGAAGGAGGTCGAGAAGCCTCTGCGCATCTGGTTCGTAGATATTCCTATCAGAACTCCCTCTCTGAGTTGTCATTTCCGCTTGCCGCACATCCCCTGGGCGCCAGTGATGCCGTAGCAAAGGGCAGCCACTCTGTTATTGTGATGGTGGGTCCTGTGGCTACTATCAGATGCGAGGTGTGGGGCGTTGAACAAATTCTAGGATCCGCCCTTCCTCCACCCCCAGACTATTTCTGGGAAGGACTGGGGGACGGAAGATGGGTAGCGGAACCCAAGGCTTTAAGACTGCGTGGAGGCCCCAGCGATTCCCCTGGTGCTGTGGTGGTGAAATTGCCTCCAGGCGGAGCCTGCTCTAGAGGGCAAGATAACTTTCATCTGCTCTCCAGAAAGAGGCTTTCCAGACAGGATTTGCACCGCAAAGAGAGACAGGTGCATCGCAAAGGGCAGGACTAGAGTGTTTCCACAGCCACCAGCTGCCCAGCAAGGAGAGGCCCCTGGAAAAGGAGGCCAGGCGTGCTGGTTGAGATAACTGTTTGATGCTTCAAGTTCAAGCCTCCCCCATAAAAAGAATTAAGTCCAGCCCAGGGAGAAATATCAGTGCAACCTTAGTTCCCTGGAGCATGCTTTTCTGAGCTTTTCAGTTTGAGGTGGAAAAGTTCTGTGTATCTGAAAATGTTCCATGAATATTACAAAAAAACCAAATGATTTTTTTTTAAGGCCCACTTTTTTGGTCTTGATCTAAGATCCACATTAAAGACAGCCTTTGATATGGAAACCAGACCTGGAAAGCATGGTAATTTCCCATCATGCCAAGATTATTAATATGACCTGCATCTCCATAAATTGCTGATTTAATTGTGAGTCATGAGGGGTGTTCTCTGTGAGGAGCTTGCTATTCCCCCTGATAAAAATATTAATAGGATGCATAAAAAGTTCTGACATCAGGACAGTGAACTGAAATTCACATCTATTTTTCTTGTGTTTAGTGTCTGTTTATATTACTTTGTGGCAGATGTAGAACAAAATGTGCCCAGTCATGACTAACTTAATATGTTTCGTGTCGAAGATAAAAAGGGGACATCTTCAGAGTGATTGCAATGCTGCTAGGCTCTGAAAAATATTTTCTTGACTTTTGCATTATAGTATTTGTATCTTTCTTAACTAGTGACTTCACAAACTGTCTCACAGTCCTCTCTGTCCCTATATGAAGAACTCTCTCTTTTTTTCTCTCTCTCTCTCTCTCTTGAGTGAGGTTTAGAAAAAGAGAGTTTGCAATTTAAAATTGTGTAGAACTGCTTGGAGCTTTACGGGGACCTGCTCTGTTGTAATTATGTAGTACACATAGCTTCCTGTAACCCAGAGGAGGTGACAGGATGTGAGAAACCCATCATCACCGGGCAAGGTGGGTGGTATGTCCACAGCTCCAGCTATGGCCCCCACACCCTGGGGTTGGGCTGTGACCGGCATGCAGGGCCTGAGTCTGGTCTGTGGGGTCAACCTCCTCTTAAATGTGTGCTTCATGTCAACAGAGGACTAATGTTGGGTAAGGAGGAAAATACATGTATTCCCCAATGTAGGGAGGAAAGGCGGCAGATACCATGGGGTACAGTTCATATTTTGGATTTATATATTGAATTATGACACTTTTTCAAGTTGGGCTATTCTAATTTGTCTTGTGGTTACCTTTTCATATTCTTGTCTTTCTAGGAAAAGTATCATTTTGTTATCCCAAATGAGCCCTAACAATGAATAATGAGCAATATTTTCCTGATAGCCTTTATACACATATTAGTAATATACTTGTATTAACCCAAGGTAGTTCTTCTTTCCCATTTTTCGCCATCTTGATGATTGTTATTTCATGTTAGTACTAGTAGAGAAAAATAATTAAATTTAAAATTGTACACTATTCAAACTCCTTCCAATAACAGACTTGAATAGTAAGGAGTGTGAAATAACTTCAGTTTTTTTTATATCATGGATTTCAATATTAGTGGTTTCTTGTTTATACTTAGACACTGAATTAAGTAATAGCTGCATTTTATTGCTGTATATTTACTTATATGCTTATGATCTCCATTTCTGTTTTCTGTTTATAAATTAGTGACATCTTCCTGGCTAATGCAGGGTTTGAATTTTCTGCTGAAATTTTCAAACATTAAAAGAGGAGGCTGCATTGCTTTAAGAAACATTCTTGTGGTCTTGTGATGTTTTCTCCTCCTGTTCTCCTTAATTTATTCTTTTTCACACACAAACAAGAAAGTGCTGTAGTAGCCTCTTGTGCATTTGGGTAGAGACAGGAAATGTGGAGTTGTGATGTTTCATGACTGGGCTTTTAGCAGGTGCTAGTGTTGAAGGAGCGCATGAGTCAGCCAGGAGAATTCAAAGAGCAGGATCTAGAACTCCTCTGCCCCCTGCACAATAAATACAGCAGATGGTGACTGTTGCCACACCGACCCTGTGGCTTCTTCCCAAAGACACCTGCTTTGTTGTGTTTACATGTCTCCCTCTGGTACCTAAGCAGAAGGAGTGGCTTGCCTGCCGTGTTCCTGGCCGTAACTCATTATATAACACTAATCCTTATAAATATTTGCTGTAAAATAATAAATACAGGAGTCTTACCTCTGTGAAGTATGATAGATTTGCTTTGACACTTTATATCTCAGTCCCTGCTTTTGGAAAGATTTGGAGATGGGACAGGTTCTGTCAGCTGGTATACAATCCACCAGTGTCTGCCCAGTCTTCCTTTCCATCCCAGGAAGCTAACCTCTCATTCCTTCACTCTCAACCCACAATATCCTGTACCTACTGAAAACTGTTCACAATCCTGGCAGTGGTGAGTTCATGATAGTTATGGCTCTGCCTCTGATGATGTGATTCTAGAGGTCATGTCCGTATCCAAACCACTGCTACAGAGCCAGTCTCTTCAAGGATGTCAGAGCATGAACCCCAGTTCTGGTTGTCCTTCATACTGCCTTTGGAGAGCATGTTTGAGAACTTCTTCCCCCGTTAGGGTCATTTCTTATATCACAGGCAGAGAAACTGAGACCAGGGAAAAGAAAGCAGAAGCCAATGGTTTGCTGAAACCCAACTGCATGCCAAATGATACATATTTGTCTATTATTTATTTATTTATTTATTTATTTAGGCAGTGCTGGGAGTAGATCCAGGACTTACATGTGCTAGGCAAGTGCTTGATGACAAACACTAACAGTCCTTGAGACTGTATGAACTGGGCTGAGGTGATAGCTCAGTTAGTGAAATGCTTGCTACACAAGCCTGAGGACTAGAGTGTGATCCTCAGAACCCTTGTAAGAGTCAGGTACCAATAATACCAGTACTGGGAGCTGGAGACAGGAGGATCCTTGGGGCTCACTGTCCAGCCAGTCTAGCTGAATTGGTGAGCTCCAGTTCAGTGAGGGACCCTGTCTCAGAAAACAAAGTGAAGACTCATTAAGGAAGAAACCTAACATCAACCTTGGCCTCTATATGTGTGAGTACCCACATGTACATGCTCACCAGCATGTATGTACACACACACACACACACACACACACACACACACACACACACAAGATCTTATGAACAATATAAGGCAGGATTAAGAGTGAATTTTGTCTTTCTTTGTCTAAACTTTGCATTTTCTGGAATTGTACTCTCTCTGAGAAAGTTATTGAAAACTTCCATACACAGGACCAGCTCAAAACCACCCAACTAGCTGGCATAAAGTTAAGC